ATTTTTATTCTATAAAAAGATTTTAGAATCCCAAGAAAAGAAAGAATTAGGGATGAATAAAATATTTTCTAGTACATCAACAATATCAAATAAGATAATTTTAATATAATTTTTTACATAAATAATAGTGAAAAAAAGTAGCGCCATGTCGAAACAATATGTGATATTATATTAGTTATCATATTTAAAAAAATATTTAAAAACAAATTTTTTTCATTCTCAAAATTATTTCTCAGCGTCGTGAAAAATAACTTTAAAAATTTGGATAAAGCTTTTTTCTTTTCCCCACCATTTCACGTCTGGCTGGCTCTACTGATTTTTGGGATAAAGCAAATTTTGCAAAAGAGGATCGTCAACATCACTCTCATCAGTGACATTCGCATTTATGAAAAATGGTTGAAGTACAGCGATGAGAAAAAATCTAAGCCGAAATTTTTCATAATTGGCACTCTGTAATCATATTTTGCAAACCAGAAGATTTTTAAATAGGCAAAAAGGAAAGATGAAAATAAAATATTTTAAAGCTTTCATTTTCCTTACATCCGAAAAATGAATTAAATTTATAACGTTTCTAAATGCAATAGAAGTGCGATTTTCGAAAACCCTCTTAAAAAATAATTGCGTATAAAATCGCAAAAATAATTTAATTGCAAGAATACAACTAAAATAAAATAATACAATTGCAAGAATAAGGAATATTTTTCATGAAGAAACTTCTAAAATTTCATTTTTGGAAAAATAATTCTGTTCCATAGTCATTAAAGCTTCAAAACTCAGTCTTCTTCAAAGCATATTTAAAATAAAATAAACTTACAACATTTTTTAAATCCAAAAAAAGAGAAAAGAATATTGAAATAATATGTCGAATTCTTCATTAAATAATAAAATAAAAGTAACGAAACAATGAAAAATTCAGATAATATGGAAAGTTGAATAAGTCAAAGCGAATGGATTTCCCAGCGTGAAAAAATTTCAAAAAATATTCTATCAAAAAGTGGGAAATAAGATTGAACAACAAAGGATGAAAAAAAGAAACGAAACGAGGCAGAATATGGCGTTTTAGCAAAAATAGTATAATTAATAACGCCAAGTAAAAAATAGAAGCAAAAACAGGAAAAATGTGGTAATTTAGCGCTAATTAAGCGAGGAATCACTGAAAACAATTAAAAGAGAGATAATTTATAGTTATTTATAGTTTAAAATAAGTTCTGTGGTAAAAACTCCACGCTAAAAATTTTTATTGTGGCACTATTAAGCATTCGAATATTCGAATAATGTTAATTCGAAACTAAACAAATACAAAGTATTGCCACGTCCGCCACAATAAACGCGAAAAACCGGATTTTCATAAATTTCTGACTTCGATTGCTTCCAACGGCAAAAAAATAAAATTAATGCCTGTGAAAATTATTTGTTACTAACCGCAGCGGAAAGAAACTGAATTATTTGCAATCATTCAAGCATAATATCTAATTTGATTGAGTTTAATCAGAAAGCATAAAAGATGATTTTGAAAAATTCGTGAAAGAGAAAATATTAATGGAATTTATGCATTTTCTTTTTTGAGAACCTTCATCCTTACTGGTAGGACTCGCTTCGCTGACTTATCTATCGCATCGGACAAATATGCCAGAGAATCACTCGGCGACAGAAGAACAAGTGAATCGCCAGCATCAGGATTTACTACTGCGGAGAATCGAACCTCAGCATCGGCGCTCCGAACTGAGCAACAACCCACTGGACCAAGTTGTTTTTCTCCGTTAGAAGAATACTGCAGCCCACTAAAGTATTACTTAAAAAATGGTCATTAATAAATAAGAAAGTTATAATTCGCCGAAAATATGGTTATGAAGTCTTTTAAACAATGCAAAAATTATTTTTTTTTGGCGACGCCAATCGCCATGTGGCTTCCTCGTAAAAATTTCGCTAACTTTCTAATTGACAGTGGAACTTTCAGTCTATATTTTAAATCGATTTCAACAACGAATTCGCTGTAGTATTATTTAGACAGTTTTTAACATTTTCGTGTGATCTTCATGAGTGAGCAATTAAACGCTCATTATTTCTTGTTAGGTTAGCCCCGTACATTGCAGAGATGAGGCATTCTAAGCTTCTTGATAAAATATAAAAATTTTCTATTTCTATTCTTGATAAAATAAAGAAAACGAAGTGGCCAGCTCGGTTCTTATTTTATTTTTGGCAATTTAAGTATATTAAACCCAGAAAATTTTCAAATGACCGAAAGAAGGTCAATAGGCAATGTTAATAAAAAAAGAAGAGTGGAGGATAAGACAAGAGAGCTACTAGAAAAGAACAATTGATGGAAAGGGCTGTTGAAATGAAATTGGAATCGATCGGTGAGAGGCTAATCGGAAGTGGTCCTAAGGCACATATTCTCGAACAAAAGCAATCCAGTACTAATAAAAGTCCTTAGGTCAGATGAAATCGATCGCTACATACCGTTATAATTATTTGGAAAATTTTCCTTTTTCTATTAACTTTATTCGCTAAAAGAAAATTTGAAAAAAAATTAGTCACCTGATTTGATTTGGGACAATAAAAATATCAATTTGCCGAGAACTGAAGAAAACCACTGAAAAAAGGAATAATTAATCATTGATGATGGATGATACAGTGGCCAAGCTAAACGTCGGACTGACTGAGTAGAGAGAGACCTGTTATTAAAAAAGGGTTCATCTGGAGGCTCGCTTCTACTTAAATGACTCTCTGGCGTTTTAGAAATCAAAAGCTATTGCTGCGTGCCATTAAAAGACCAAGAAAAATACAAGGCCTAAATTTAAATTTCTTTTTTTAAAAAAAGAAAATCTCTTTTTAATTTAACCAACCAATCTAACCAACAGACGACTGAAAGTTCGGACTAAATGACTAATTACTAGGACAAAACTATTTTGCCAAAAAGCCGTTTAGGGATAGGAGTGCAGGTGAGTCCTCAGCACTTATACTTCATCAATTGATAACAATTTGATTTTCGTTAAAGAAAAAATTGGACTTGGATGGTTTAATCGCCTTATTGATTGCTGAACAGAAAAAGAAAATTTTTAAAAAAATAAAATTTTACAGTTTCATTACTTTATTTATTTTAGGTTATTGTATTTAGAGTACATTCATAAGCTGGTATGTTCTACTTTCTTAAATTATTCAATGAATTGGCTTTATTAAAATCCAACGAGGAATTTCCACAGTTTATTCTAAAACTTCACCAATTTTGCTGGAATCCACTGGCAATCTTTTGCTCTTCCTTAGAGTCTTTAATCCAAAAAATAGAAAAAAAATAATTCTTGGCGACTAAGAAAGTAGTGATAAAAATTTAAAATTTATTATAAATGTAAACTAGCATATCTTCCCAACGATATTTCAACCTATAAGGATTGTTTGCAAAATTTTCACAAAGCAATTTATGAACATTTTTTGATAAAAGAGAATAAAATATTGAACTCTGATATCATTTTGTAGTCATAATAAAAACAGATTTTCCAGCCTAAAGAAGAGTTCGATATTTTGATAAAAGTGGTGATTTTTTGATCATTGAAAAGCATATAAACATTGTCAGCACATTTAGCAACTACTTTGCTGACGTTTTTTGGACGGCAATGTTTCCTCCAAGCACGGCTTTTAATGCTCCATCGCTTTCAAATATTGATTTTTCACTATTAGATGTGCACGTGGCTATCTAATGCAGTTATTTACAATCGTCCTTATGCACTGGGCCCGATCAATTCCCAATGGAATTTGAAGATTTTCATGTGCAACTCCAAAAAGATAGACTATTTTAACCCCTCTAACTATTGTCCAATCAGCATTACTCGTGTAAGCAAGAGGAGGATATTGAAGAGATTATACAATTATCTTAATTTAATATCGACATGGTTTCTTTACGCGAAAATCCACAGCCTCTTAGCTACTGGCTAATTTCCATAACTGTTCACTATCCATTGACCATGGTCAAATGGTTGTCCATTTAGACCTAGCTACTAAAGCTTTCGATACAACTTCAAATAGTAGACTGGTAACTGTCTTTAACGGATTTAAGGTAATTTAGCACTAATTAATTGAGTATTCTAAGTGGTTGTTCCCATGCCGTCCATTTTATTTGATTTTAATGAAGTCAAGACTAGTGCATCCCAGTATAGTTGTATAGGCCCATTGCTTTTTTAATGTACACTGACTAATATTGTTTTAAATTTAAATTTACTTACATGATTGTTGATTGTTGATGATTGATAAAATTTATTTCTAACATGGTAGATCGGAGCATGTAAATGCTCATCAAAAGATTCAAATAAATATATTTTCCATATCAACCTATCTTTCTCTCTTTTTCTGTTGACAAGTCTATATTGATATATATAAATAATTTTTCACATTAAGCTACTAAAAAATCCCTCGGAACTTTGGATCTAACATTTGCAACTTTTAAAAACAAGTCAAAAAATTTCCTGATTTAAATATATAAGTGTGGACACATTCATATGTCCACATTTCGAGTATTATTTAGAATATATATTCATGTTGGATTTAATTTAACAAATCTGTTAAGTTAACCGAGAATAGGGCACTTAAATCATATCCCACTTAGAAATCCAAATTATATAATCTTGATTCACTTGGAAGAATTAAACAAGTCTGATTTCTATTTATAAGATTTTATTCTTCTAATCATAATAGCTTTAATTTGAACTTTAATGCTGCCAGAGGTAACGCACTAAAGTTGCGCAAGGCTATTTGTTGGACTACCTTTCTATCCCACAATTTTTTCGTTCGAAGTATTAACTAATGGAATAAATCACTCCACGATGTTATTCTTGCTCCATCCCTTTCCAGTTTTTTGTGAAATAAATCTCAGCATATATTATTATGAGATTTGCAGCCTCAATTTAATACTGTTATCTTTTTCTTTTTCTTTTCATCATTTCACTTTTTATTAATTTGTTCTATTCACTTACATTACTATATATATATATTAACTCCAGCGCATGGCTTTATACCGTGCTTTGCTTATAAAAAAATGAATAAAATTTGAAACCATAGACCTATCATAGACCTACATTCTTTTACTTCCAATATTTATGTTTTATTTTTCCAATTCTCCAATTACATAAACTGAATCGTCTTAACCTGTATAAAAGGCTCATCGATTTTTATATAAGCGAATTATATAAAAAATAAGTAAGGGATTAGCACCCACCATTTCAGGCTAACTCAGCAGGTAGTTTACGACTAAGAACTTTTGTCGAGAAATCACTTGGTAACAGAAATTAACCTAGGTCCTCAATACCATTTAAACCATCTAAAATGAAATGAGAAAAGATGATCTATATAAAACAAACCTCCAAAATGGATGCGCTATCAATCATTTCCGCCATGAAAGTTGAAATACCTCGACACTGATAATCACAACTACCAATTCTAAATAAGAAAATTTTTTAACCGTTTTTTTTAAACAAGCAATTCTGAAACAATAATAAAATAAAAAGCCTTATTTTAAGCCTTAGTATCAGTTAGAAACAATAAATAAAAAGCTTTAATAAATATAGATAAAGTAAATAAACAATACCTAGTGTGGATGCCATCCATAAGCGAAAAACGAGCACTATCACATGGAACAAATGAACCAATTTGAGCCATTAAAACCGTTAAAGCACAAGAGCGCATATAAGTGCTTTTCCCACCCATATTGGCTCCTGTTAGCAGCAAAAAACGAGCTAAAATTAAAAACAACCTTTCATAATGGAGAAAACCATTGGATCATTGATGTTACTGATATTTTTGAATTTCTTTGGCGGTTGTATTTTTATTCCGCTTTACTTTACTTTAACGCTATTTTTTTGGAATATTTTTGAATTTCCATAAACAATGAGCTAAATTCTTTTTTCCAAAATTTAAAAGTAAAGAATTGAAATAAATAAATATATATATAAAATTCGAATTCAAATGAATTTAAACTTATCATTTTAAATTTTTAAAATTTTTTTCATTTTTCTCCCACTTTATGCTATTAATAAATAATATTATAAAATAATATGATATTATATTTGTCTTCGACAGGAGTAAACCTGTCATATCAAAAATCAGAGTAGCTTCTGGGGGCCCACTTGTTTACCTCCAAGTGATTCTATGAGGCGTTCGCATCCTCCAAAGCGTATGATATTCCCAGCCTGGTGGTGTGGTGCATGTGATAAGTATACAATGCGGGCCGCTGCAATGACCTCGACAATTGGCAAATATGACATCAGAGACTGGTGAACGCCTTCTTCGCTATGGCGAAGAGAATGAACTTTTTATTATTTTTTGATACCTGCTTCCAGCATCATAGAAAAACATCTAGTCATGTGAGACCACTTCAGCGGCTTCCACGCTCTAGAGTTAGAAAATGCGCTAGATAAGGTATCAAAAGCAATTGACCAATTGTCTGAAAACGCTGCGAAAGTACGGATGTCAGGAAATCTTGACTTCCGGATGCTTCGGAGAATTGAAATAATGACAACAACACAGAGGGATAGAAATCATTATTGGAGCGATATGGCCTTGGGAATGAAAACGGCGGCTCGATTAGGCGATAATAGGAAACTATTTCGCCTTCTTCATAAAGCAATTATAACTCGGGGAACGATCAGTGAAATAGTAAAGGATAGCAATGGTATGCGTGTTAAGATTATTAAGGACTCATAAGAACGCCTCATAAGAAGGAAGGAATTCTTTGAGGCCAAATTTAATCCACGACGCACCATCTATTAACCCAGACAAAGCTGATACATTCGTCAAACCATACGAAATAATTTCTGTTATCCATAAGCTTAAGGCTAATAAGACTCCGGGAAAAGATGGTTTTCAAGCTGAACTCTTCGAATGTTTTCTATTGTCCTTTGTAACGCACCTTTAACAAATATACTTTCTGGTATGAAAGAAAGAAAAATTACTAGATGACTGGAGCAAAACAATTTTACTCCCAATTCCCAAGAAAGATGATAAGATATATTGTGACAATTATCGAGGAATCAGTTTACTAGACGTCTCAGCGAAAATTTTTGATTCTCTTTTACTCAATAGACTTATGGCTCTTATGGCTATATGGGTGAACAGGATACGTCCTAATCAAGTTACAAACTTTGAATATGCTGATGATGTAGTCCTTTTTGTTAATATTTATGCAAACAATACTAATTAACGCGTCAGCAACTGCGGCAAAATCGGATTCAGGACCAATGTGAAAAAACAAAAGCCTTTTTATTTTACATACAACAAACTGATGGAATGCCTCTTTTCATAAATTCATTGCCAGTTGAGGAATTACCCGATTTTAAATACCTTGGATCCATTCTTCGTATGGCTAGACAAAAAATGAAATTTCAATCCGGATAATGACAGCTAAAAATTCTTCCCGTTGACGAAGCCTTTATACAGCCATTGCAAGATCACCATAAAAACTAAAGTCCGCGTCTATATAGTAGCGGTTCGTTCAGTCTTCAATCTCTATGTGGCTGCGAGATATGGCCAATAAGAATCGAGGATATTAAGAAGTAATCTGCCTATGACCAAGGTACATTTTACGGTTCGTCGAGTGGATGAAATCTCACATGATCGCATCTACCCTCATTCAAATGTCACTTACATTAACAGTCATCATAGAGCTTCGCATTCGCTGGTTATGGCACGTTCTTCGTTGCTCACCACATATTTCGTTACTTGCTAAACTGTGTGATAGGTGGTATCAAAATCGATGTGGGCCAATCAAAACCTGATCTGATATGATCAAAAAAGATTTTAAATGCATAGGTGGACCAGCAATATATGGACTTAGACGATGGAAAAAGGAATGGCTTCTATTAATGTCAACGATGGTATCAGACCGCATTGCTTGAAAACGTCTTACTCTTGTAGCCAGTGGAGTCAGCCTAATCAGTAATGGTGTGAACTGTTAAAAGAAAAAGAAGATCGCTGGTAGCGAATTCTTTACTCATCAAAAATCGAACATGTATATCCACCTAAAAAAAAATAAATGAAAAACGATTCTATGAAATACAGTGGAGAAATTTTTACCCTCTGGATCCTTTCCCATGATTACATCATTCGATATAAAGGAAGAAGCATTAAGAATAGATTCCAACACGGGATGCCTACAAGACTTTAATTCTATCACACTACTATCTGAAAATTAATTCATACACAAAGTAGAACAAAAAAATCCACCAAATAATTTTTCAAAATTAAGATGAAGGCGACTAGTAGAAAAGAAGGAACATAGCCATATTGCCTGCAAAATTAAATATAGAATAAGCCAATAATTAAAAGCGTTGGAAATTACCTTTGTCAAGCAACTGTGGTCGAGTATATTTTGATGGAGAAGTAGCAGCTAGAACTGAAAATGCAACCAATACATCTAAAATAGCGAGTGTCTCTGATAACTGGTTTAATGCTGGCACATAGCTCGCTGAAAAAAAATATCATTTATTATAAAGAAATATAAGAATATTTTTTGAATTTTACAGTAAGAAAGAGAAAAATAATAATACATACACATAGATACATATAATATCAAAAAATTAACCACATGTATTCACAACCATTTTGATCAATTCTGTTTGGGATGACTCATAAATTTTTTCTAATTCCCTATATTCTGAGTTCAAGCGATCGAGATCACTATTGGTGAATCGAACACCAGACCCCTTGCTTGTCGCCAAAATGCGAAAGCCCATTTGACGTAGAGATTTCTCTGCCTGATGGAAAATAGAAAATTAAAGCAGTGTTGTTGCAAGAAGCTTTCGGTAGGCGTTAAAGTAGGTCGCAGAATATGTTTAGAAGAATATATTTAGAAGTTATTTAAGGATATAATGCATTCAATGGTTAATTAAAATTAAATTTTTCCAAATCTATATGATTATAGTAAAAAAAGCTAAATAATAAAAAAGCTAAATCATAATTTTTGAGCGATCTATCGGCGCTAGAATAGCATAGTGATCGCGACTCCTTTCTGTTCTTTCAGCACAGACTCTTCATCTACCTTACCTCAAATATTTGTGGCATACTAAGTCATGCCGACTGCGACATCGACAGAATGTCCACATCAGATTTTGAGGAACCAGGAATCTTGTGCTCTGGAATTATGCCAGATGCTGTGGAACCAAAGCAGACTGGTATTAAAAGGACTATTGTTTAACGAGATAATATATATATATATATATATATATAACAAGAAGCAACTGGATAGTGTCAAAATTGGTAACCTTAAGTGTAACACGAAAGAAGAAACCATACTGAGAATTATAATCAAGCTTGACAGCTTCAGGAATCTTGGCGCATGCCTTAAGATATTTACTAAGGATGGAAATATATGAAAATAAAAGAAATACTGGATCTGTTACAGTTTAATCGAATATAACTAAAAAGATTGCCAAGAAATTTAAAAACACCTTGTTAAATAGATTTTTACAATCGGATTCGATTGCTTTCATTCGTTTTGCAGTGTGTAACAAGTATTCATCGATCTCAGGTTTAATTCTATAGGTTCCCGTTTGTTCACAATATTCAACATCAATCGTAGTTTCAATAAGCCTTGCAAATTTTTCGAATTGCAAAAGCGCTACTCGTATTTGCTCCTGAAAATTAAGCGAACTAAAAAATGAAATAAATGAAGAAAAATGAAAACACAAGAAAACACAAGAAATAAAATAGAATGTACCAAACAAAGATCGTTGATTGAAGGCGCCAAATTATTTGAGTTCGCATAAAGATCAGTTAAAACTTCTTCAAGGCGTCGCAAAAGACGTATTAGCTGATATAAGCGATAACAATCCTATGAATATTTATAAATCCTATGAATATTTATAACTGGTTCCAAAAATTTCTAAAAGAAATTTGGGATTCTTGCTATTAGTTTGAACCATCTTATAATATAATAATATAATATAATAATATCTTATAAGTTTAGTATTTAAAAATTTAATCAAAAACAAGAATTTTTAAGTTGGACCTGAAGACCAGCCTTTTTCATCATTAACTTTCTCGTCAATCCAGTAACATCAGGGACTCGGCGAAGAATGTTATCATATAGAATCGCTCTACACGTAAAATTACTATATAACGCTTCAACTATATCTAGACGTTCATTTATTCGACGTAAATCATATTGAGGACGACGCATCCAGTGGCCTCAAAAAATAATTTAACGTAGAAAACCAAGGATAGTATAGTATAGTATGAAAAAATTTCAAACATCTTATTCTTAAAAAATATTAAAAATACTTTGAAAAGATTTAAAAAATATTAAAAAAAGATTACGAAGCAAGCGTTGCCCGTGCTGCGTACGACATTTATTCATTAACTGAAATAATGTACCAGTATCACCAAAACTTGCATCTGCAAATCCCAAACTTCAGATTCAAATAAATAATATAAATAATAAATAATGAATAAAAAGCTGATAATAAATCATGTATATGTATAGATATGCAATAAAATGCCATCAGTTATAAAATAATTCAAATGTAAATTGTAAAATACAGTTACCTTCATCATAACTAACTGAAAAAAGCTCAAGTGCTCTAACAGCAGCCATATTCAAATACATATGCCCAGCAGATTTATAATTAAATAATTGAAAACAATCATAATATGTGGCATCATCGGCAATATGTAGGTACTCCACAAGACTAATTAGACATCGCTTTTGTTGTTCGGAAAGATGTATGTCTGAAAATAACATCATATATAGTTAATGATAAAATAAAATGATTGGATAATCATGGATTACTGGAAAGTAGAATGGGTCAGTGGGTCAGTGGGTTGTTTCTCAATTCGAAAGGTTGAACTCTATTGCTATTGGAAAATGTATCCAAAAAAAATGCTGACTTATTCGAGAGTAATGGCGACAAATCATTTGTATTTCTATCACCGAGAGACTCCCCGCCATATTTATCTAATGCGTTAAGCCAGCCCAGAGAGGGCCATAACCAATAATAATTAGTGCACTTTAAAAAATATAATTTTAAAAAATAATAACTAGAAATTGCTATGGGTAATAATCAATGAGAAAATTCAACAAAAAAAGTGGAAATTCCAATTTTAATAAATTTCACTATTTTTTCAACACATCTTTGGAATAATATTTTAAATTAGACTTTTTTCCAAAAAATTGATAAAGCAATAGAACTGCTGGAAATGATAGGGCTTCCAACCTTTGAATTTTGTATTGATCACTTGAAATAATTTATTCTCCATTTCTACAGTAACATTCTCCCATGACTGAAAAGGAACTCGCTTAACCCCAGCTCTTTTTAGTGCAATTTCTAAATGATCAATCCAAATTTCCATATCGCTTCGATCAACCATGGTTTTTGAAATATTTGGTACAATAATAAATTCCCGAGGAGTAAGCGAGACAATACATTTCTGAAACGAATTCAAAAATTAGAAACATTGCTCGAATAAATTTATGGAATGAAAAATATGAGACTGAAAATTTTTTAATTATAGAATTAAATTCATTATGTATTCATTAATCACCATTATTTTATTCTTTATAATCTTTTTTTTTACGTGGATCTTATCGTTTTATCTTTAATTTTATCCTATCATGGTTTATTATTTTGTCATCAGCATATATTATATCTTGTTTGATTTCTTGAAATATTCAAATATTCACATTTCAAAATATCGGGATAGAAAAAACAAAAATAACTTCTAAATTCGAAAAATGCTGTGTATCCGAAAATTCAGCAACAGTCATTCTCACATCACGCACATTGCAAAACCCGATTGACAGCCGATACTATAAGAGAACAATTTTTAATAAGTGAAAACTTATTAAATAGGACAACTGACTTTATTTTAAAAGTAAAAAGTTGAAAAAAATATTGTACTTCATCTGAGCCATGTTCCTCGGACAAAACTAAAGCCATAACCGTAGATAGCTCATTAATCTCTATACTATCACCAATCATTTCCTCGAAATCTCCCAAACAACCCAGTGAGCCCTAAAACATAAAACAAAAAAACTCGAAAAGAGAACAACATTTAATTAACATCAGAAAAAAAGGAAAAATATTTTTAACCTTAATACATAAGTTTGAATCAAATAATACTTTTGCCTTTAACTTCCACTGTCGATCATCTAATGCGTAAACTTCTAGGCGATAATGTAAAAGTAATAAAAGATCACGAACAACACGATTGTATTGACCGTTGTTCAAATTATGGTATGTAAGTTCTTGTGTATCTTAAAAAAAACAGTTTTTACCATCTGAAATATCTCTCCATGACTATTTGTAGATATATTTTTCATAGTAAAATATACAAAAAAAAAGTTTTTAAAAGTTCATAAATATTTAAAACAAAAATAACTGCCAGTGGACAATAATACACTAGAAAATCCATTCAAAAAAATATTATTATTAATGTAATAATTAATTAATTTCCCCTTTCTAATGATAAATAATCTATTTTATTTTTTGAACTCCTACAAAAAACAAATGAAATAAAAATATCAAGAACATCATAAATAAAACCTATAGTGATCCGTCGAAGCCCAATTTCACTCAGAAAAATTTCATTAGCCACAAGAAATGCATCTTCTTCATAACAACAATAAAAATCCTTAAATTTTTTAAATCCAAATGATTCTTCATTATAATTAAACTATAATCGAATTAAAATTCAAAAAAGAATAAAAACAATCGAATAAAAAATGGAAAAAAATATGAACTGAGCAAACAAACAATTTTTTCGAAAATTGCGACAGTTCCAGAAGCTTTATTTTGTAGGATCTTCAAGAGACTTTTATCAATACTGTCCATGTTGAATACGTTCGATTAAAAATGTAAAAAACAAATTAAAACAGTGAATAATCTGCAAAACAATTCTGTATTGCAGAGATCTGCAGAGAAATAAGAGAGGAAGAGAGGACAGTGCAAAAGATCGAAAACGGAAAAAAAAGAGCTCGCTGGCTGGCAACCTCAGATTCAAATATATTATAAATAAAGTTTAATGTCTGAAGTGAAATATCTTCCTTTCTAATGATAAATAATCTATTCGAACATTAAAAATCGAATCGAAAAATCGAAAATCGAATAAAAACATAAGATACACGGTTCGTTACAAAATTTCGCTATCTTTTCACATTGCGCATTTTACATAATTTTACATAATTTTCGCTTTCAGTACATTTTAGGAAATTATCTACAAATGCTGCGAACTATATAATTCGATGATGCTGGCTATTCACATAAACTTTCATCCTTAATGGACTACTTGGAATATTCGTTCAATGTAGCTAGCCAAAGTATGGAGGCGAGCTGTGAATGCTACGAAATTATGTGGCAAATCTGGCAAACAATAAAAAAAATATTTATTTAGTAATGAAAATAGCAAAATAATAAAACAAACCGAAAAGAATTATGAGAAAAAGAAATCCTCGAAAATTTATATAAAACTAAAACCATAACTGCTTCCGTCTTTTTTATTTCCCAATTCTTTATAACCGCAAAGTTTTGCAAATTCAATTCTATTCATCCTATTTATTTTTACGGATTTTTCGCAAAGAGGCATCCCTCCGAACCAAACCCCTTCTACAATCCCCCTCAACCTCCTTCGGACTTTAAGGCACAATGCTGCAGAAAATTTTCCGCTAAAGTTTCTTCAGAATTTGGCTGAAAATAGCAAAAATAATCGTTCTAAGACTCATTAATTTGAATTTAAATTTATCCTAGTAGGTTGTGAATTTGCAGTTTTTCGTGGTGTTTTACGATTAAGGGGGTTCTACTGAATGCGGCATTTACTATTTTTCTGGATTTGTTTTCCGTGAAATGTGACTCTAAATAGCAAATTTTTTCTTCGCGTATTATAAATCTATATTTATATTTATATTTAACATGGAAAAATGTGGGTTTTGACGTCGACACTTTAGTCGAAATTGACAACCGCATCGAATGACGGAGATTGTTCGAAATTCCTTTTGTCGACCTGAGGAAGAAAACGTCGCAAGTGCGTTTAGGCCCTCTCGCATAGCTTCTGACACCCCGGTTTTCTAGATAATCTGAAAGGAATAGTAATTAAAGAAGATCTCCGCGACTGTGGATTTAGCACAAAACCTTTCCCACGGTACTTTTGGAGTTAGTCTACAAAGATCTTCCGCACGGGGATATCAGGGATTTGGAGTGTGTAATTAGTGAGTGGTCGTCCAACGGCTCTACTAAAATAAAAATAGCTATCATTATTGTTTAGATATTATTGATTGATAATCGATTATTGCTTTGTTTAGGCATTTCAAAATTTTTTTTCTAAATTTCCTAGAATTTTTTTTTATTTTTCTTCCATCTTATTCTATTAATAAACAATATTATAAAATAATACATGTCTTCGACAGGAATAAACCTGTCATATCAAAAATCTGGGTGGCTTCTGGGAACCCACCTGTAACTCTCTCTATCCCTAAGTGATTATGATGGAAGGATCGGATGTTCTTGACACAGCTTACGTGTCCTCCCAGCTTGCATGCGATAAGTATACAAGATATAAATGATCTCATTAATAAAAAGTATTCATAAATAAATGAAGTAAATAAATATATAATAAATAAAATATCTCATAAATAAAATATGAGTTCCACTGCCTTCAGTTATTATTCTATTTTTAGAGAAATACTTGCTGATTTTCCTTAATTTCAAGAAAATCGAGGCTGTTTCATGAAAAGATTAGGCAGTGGAACTAAAGGAATTTTTTCGGAATCCATCTGAAAAATAAAATTAAAATCTAAAATCTCCCTTTGATCACTATTGTCCAATGCATTTCACTTGTTATCTGAATCTTCTTCTTCTTCTAACAGCTCTCATCATTACTGGTTAGGGTGGCTCCAACGCCTACAAAAGTAAGACGCTTCCAAGCGGTGCGGTCAGATGCCATCGTCGACAGTAATCGAAGCCATTCCTTTTTCTATCGTCTAAGTCCATATATTGCTGATCCACCTATACGAATGAATGTTATCTGAATTTAAATTTTTTATCAAATCCGCGGATGATTTATCGAAATATTCACGAATCCGTTCATAATTTATGATATATAAAGTTTCTATTCCATAATTGATTATTTTACTTTCGCTTTATTGTGAAAAATTTATAATGAATTTTTAAAAAATTTCTCCTTACAGTTATCCCACGATTTTATGAATTTTGTTAACCAATAAAGAGATTTTTTTACAAAAATTATTTTTTTTTTAAATCGTGCTTTAAAATTTTTGTATTAAAATAGCTCTTACTCAGCATTTTAACATTTTTTTTTGTTTCTGAAATCAATTTATCTATTTTGGCGAATTTTGGTTGGATTTTATAATTCTTTCTAAATTTTTAAACCTTTGTTCAATTTGATTTGAAATTTAATTCCGCATTTCCGCATTTTTTTGCTTATTTTTATTTTCTGCCAAAGTCAGCATGAGTGGAAAAAAGCAGATTTTCAATGTAAACCAACTTCTGTGGCGTTTTCTTTTTCCAGCAATTTTTTCATTTTTAAGGATTTAAGATGAAAAAATTAGGGTTGAGCAATATGCTTTCAACTAGGATCATAGGTTCGATTACTTCGGTTTTTGACGAAAATAATTTATTACAAAAGAAATTAAACAGAACTATGAAATGGAATAATGAGTCCAAGTTTACTTTTATCCTTTCGGGCAGTTAATGAGCCAGATAAATCAGTAGTTCTTTAAGAAAAAACTGGTTTATATGAGAGAAATCCAAGTGTAACGTTGGTGACTCGCTCGTGATGCCACCGAGAATCGACGCTGAGGTTTGAATCCGCTGACGCACCACTCTTCTTCACGAAGCGTCGCCTAAAAGAGAAAAACAAAGGAGAATAAAGTGGCTAAGTGGGTTGTTGTTCAATTCTGAACTCCGAGATTTCTACTCCAGGTAGAAGTGAACCTGTCCGAGTGGTACTGGCGATTCACCTGTCAACTTCTATCGCCAAAGGATTCCCTTGCAAATTCGCTTAATGTGACAAACTAACGAAATTTAACCAATAGTGGTGAGTGCTATTTTAAAAAAATTTAAGTATGACATAGCAGATTAAAAATTTATCTGAAACATTTCATATACGTGCAATATTATGTATTCGCATAAGAAATATATAAAAATTTATTTAAAAAATATGAGCCAAAAACAGTGGCAGATCCGATTGCGATAGAACCTGCGATTTAAGCGGTCATTTAACGTATCACATTTATTAATCACTTGAAGTGACCACCAGTTTATCAAATAAAATCCGTCATCCGTTCGTAGTCGTGACAATTATTTCAGCGTCGCGCGTCCAATCACAAGCCAAATAATGCCTTAGCAACAAACGATATTTATCGGAAAATAGCATAAATATTGCAATATTGCACGATGCATTAACCATAACCTGAAATTCAAGTAAAATTTTTCTAAATATTTTCTATATTTTCATCGCGTAAAATTCACCGAATCGCTGAAAAAAATTAAATTTATCGAAAAAAAAACTTTAATGAAAAAACGAAGTGCACAAAGTGCAAAATTCTCGATTTCAATTAAATAATCAAATTGAATCAAAATAAATTAAATTAAAGAAGGAAAAAATTTATTGTTGAAATATTTGACAAAAAAGTACGTTCCTAAATGTAAATCTCGAATATTGTTTTAACAAACAAGAATGTTCAGCTGATAAATTTCTCCCATTTCTTCTTTCACCATTCACCATATCTGGTTTGGTAACTCCACTGACTTCTAGAGTGGCTGTTAGACACTCTTTCACCGGGAAGTCACTCGTTGATGAGTTACCAGCATACATTTTTCGGAAAATTCACCCCGACTTTGTTCATTTTCACTCAAAATATTGCTCAAAATCCTTTTTTAAGTAAATATTCGCATATTATTTGTTCACTATTAGCATTTTGCAAATGTTGAAGTGAGTTTGAAATCGCCTTAAGGTTTAATCATATTAATGGAAATATATGCAATATTTATTTATGAAATTTATTAAAAAGGCAAATAATATTAGAAGAAAAGAAAAACGAACCAAAAAATTATTATAAGTGACAAGGTTGGCGTAGAAAGCATCGTCATAGCCGATATTTTCAAGAATATTAACAACAAATGCTAAAGTATTGCACGAAAGGAATACAACAACGATTGCGATGAGCATGATTGACGTTTGTCGTTCTTTTCTCTCAGCCCTTTTCGAGCTGTCATCCGGCATACTTATACGACGATGAAGGCGATTTGATCGACGAATTGTGAATAAGACCTGCAGTAAAAGTTCGAATGCAATAAGTTTTCATAACAGTCAAAGCAATTAAAATTATTCACTGGAAATAGAAATGAGGGTAAAACATTTGTTGTAAATCCAGGGTTCTGCTTGAAATATTATTCCTTTTTATGGGTATTGTTGAGATTATTGTTTAGAATTGATGAATCTGCTCCTTACGGAATGGTGTTTTTGTCGCTCTAAGTTAAATTTTTCATTCGAAAAATAAACTGCTAAATGCAGTTTCTCGAATGGTTTTTGGCGATTTTCATGGTGACTAATTTGTTAAATATTTGCATTATTTGAGTCACATTGGCCAGATGCAGTGATCGAATTTAAAGGTGACATGGAATAATAATTATGTTAGAAATCTTTAAAGCATAATTCGTTTATAAATTGCCTCAGTTCGTAACAATGGCTGATGATGAATAACTTTTTCGCATTTTTTCAATTTTTTGATCAATAGAATTTTTATCGGATAAAGAGAACAATTTAAAGCTCTCATTATTTCTCGTTAGGTTCACTATGTTGGCTTCTCCGGCAGGAAAATTTTACTGGGAAATCGCTTGGTGAACTACGCGTGAATTGCCCTTGCCGTCCGAATTTTGACAGATAAATTTGCTCTTCTTTGGGAGTAGAACGAGAATTGGAGTTCGAAAATGGCAATGCCAGCCCGCTGCGCCATTCCAGTTCCTGTTTCAGAGCAATAAAATTATTTTGCTTTTCTATGAACAGATCCGTTAAAATTTATAGAAAGAAATTTGTTCCGCACTTTAACAATAAATCAAGAGATTTCAATTCACAAAACTTGCTTTTAGGTGGGATGGTGAAATGGTACATTGCATTGCCTAAAGTCATACGGATTAATCACAATATATCAGCGATATGCTTCTTCCCTTCCAGTGAAGAAGCATTTTGCCAAAAACGTAAATAAAAATCGCAAGTATCTTAAAAAATAATAGAGAATTCATGCTTTTTGAGGAAGCGAAAGTTCGAAAAAATAAAAAACCGTTTCCTTTCAATCCCTTCAATCTCCCTACCCCAAGATTTCCAAATCGTCTAAACGGTTGGTCAGTTTGGATTTTGTCATAGGCGAAGACAGGGAGTTGACGATAGAAGAGAGGAAATTTGGCACTTTTTCATATTAGCATGCGTCGTCGTCACGGTTTATCATCCAGTTCATGAGCACCATTGAGCACCATTTTCCCTTTTTCCCTTAACTCGCCGTAAACTCAGATGAACTCGCTGTACCATCGTCCACCCATTATTTCCACATGTGGATTGTGATAATTTTGCAATGTATATAAGACCTGGACACATAATTTCATAAAAGTAGGTGCTTTTATTATAGAAGTTTGAGGATTTTACTTGCGATAGATCAATCTTATCGTACATAAATCATAGTATGAAACTACAATGGAGGCATGGCTGCCTTATTTGAACAAGACAAATAAACTGCATGTTAGGTAGAGTAGAGTAATGTTTTATTAAGTCGAGTAAGAATCTCCTGAACCGAAGTTAAGAAAATTTTACCGATTGAAAATTCCGGCATCTTTTTACGAATGGTGCATCGGCTAGAAGTTGAATCTATCCATGTGGCAGAGGCGATCCACTGAACCAATGATACATCAACGCATACCTCATCAACTTCCTCTTCATTAATTAATTTTTCATTGATCTTTTTGATAATTCCTGTTGGTGCGAATCCAGGCTCCACAGTAGCCTTTTGCTTTTATTATTTGGCGATGTTCTCGCCTGAAGAAAGCGTGATTAATCAGCTGAGTTCCAGCGCAATTCGATTTGATACAATACTTGAAAATAATTTCCACTTAGTAATATTCTATTTACTATACATGATGAAAACATCCTTATCAATCTCCATTAATTGATTCTTCATTGATCCTTTAAATTATAACTGTTGATAAGACTTGTTTCGAATCCAGAATCTTTTGCTTTCGCTGTTTTGCGACACTATCTTAGGTCCGTAATGTTCTTTGAATGAAGGATTAAAAACCATTAGTATTTCCAAATGGTATTCAGATGAAAGAATATCCTACTAACAGTGATTAGAAGAAAAATGACACAACATCAATTATCATATTACAAATTTTATTAGAAATTAAAAAAGATACCTGTGAATTAACTGTAATGAGGATACTGAAGGGTACAACAAACATAAGAATGGTGTATGCCCACCCAAAAAAAATTAAGCGATAAGTTGGATTAAGACGTAAATCAGATGGGCTAAGCACTGGTATAAATGCAGCTATATTTAAACGATAACAGTTATTTACCACTCTTACCTGCAATTTTTTGCCGAATTATTTTTGTTCATGACCTACATTTTTTCAAATTTAAATTTTGCTCAAATATTTCAAATATTTGATAAGTAAATATTTATTAAAATCTTCAAAAAATTCTCAAGTATTTTGTTTTTTTTAAACCCAACAATCCCTATCCTCTTATAATTCGATTTTAAATATTGTTCATCACCATTTATTTTGCATTTAATTTGGTAATTAATCCATGCCACCAAAATTCACAACTGGAATTTACTCTAACTAATCAGTTATAAATGAAGAATCAATTATGTGTTATAAATTAAGGATGAATTAGGTGAGGAAGTGAACGTTTAAAAATTTATTTTTTTTTATTATTGTTAAGAGTCGAAGGCAATAATATTTCCAGAATGTGAAAACCTCGAAAAATCTCGTGCTATTGAAAAGGACAGAAAATCCAAGTAGACCGATTATGAATACAGCTACGTGATTCGGCTGAAGAATGGAAGACGCTTTAAATGGCAAACATACACCAATGTAACGATGTACTGACATTCCAGTTGTCATCCATACACTGGAAAGTCATAAAATAGATCAAAATTTTTAATTTAATTCTTGATTTGATTTTTAAATCGATTTTGCGCAAAATACAATCATAACAATTTTATAAAAAATGAGTGCCTAGTTTCCAAACATGGGTGTAGAATGGTTTATTTGTTGCTCAATTCGGAGCGCCGTTGCTGAGGTCTTATTCCCTACAGGAGTAAACTTGTCTAAAATTCCGGGTGATGCTGGCGACTCACCTGCACTTCTATCGCCAAGGGACTCCCTGATATATTTACCCAGTGCGACAAGCCAGCGGAGCGAGTTTAACCAGTAAATGGTGATGGCATTAAAAAAAAATTTCTAAACATTGTTTTGTAGGTAAAACATTTGATTACGATTTATCGTAGATTACGAGAAGTAGATTATGAAAAGTTCGGTAATTGCTTGTGGCTTAGACAATGGATTATAATATTTAAAATTGCCACTGTGGTTACTGCCTTATAAAATTATGATTAGAAATCGGACACTCATTTTTTATAAAGGGTTGTAAAATTTATATAATTTTTTATTTTCTTTCACGTATGCCTCAATATTGTAAGAATGTCTCATAATTTTCCATTTTTATTTTTGATTCGTAAAATAAAAAATGGGTTTTTTTTGGGCAGAAATAATCGGAATTATATAAACAAAAGAGAAATCGAGCAATAATCCACTTTTTTTTCCCTTAGATCCAAAATAAACTAAGAATAAATAAATTCATATCATTATTAGTGAAAAATGTTTTGTACTACAGGAAACAATATAAATAGAAATAAAATTAGTTTAAAAAATACAAATGTAAAATAAAAAATTCATTTTAAAAATCATCGATTTAAGTTCTTGAAATCAGTCTTTCAATACAAACTAGAACTAATCATTCATTGTGATTTATGACATGAAAATAATGGCACTTATTTATAGCTTGTAGATTTTTTTAAACAGTTTGTTTCTTTTGCGATGTTGCAAATAAAAATTTCTTCATGAAAAATTCATTTTCTTCTCGTAGAGTAATGGCATTTCATGCAAATGCACATATAAACATAACAAATGCGTTTCTATTAATTTTATTGGATGAACTGTATGATGCTGTGAATTAATTTAAGGGAAGGAATGGCGAATAAGTTGAAATTTAAAAAAAAAAGAAACACTTGGAACAAGCCGAAAATTTTTTGAAAGAAAATTTGACATATTATGTTAGAGGATGAAATAGTTCACCCATTGAAAAAAAGATTTGCAAAGAAAAATTAAAATACTTTAGAATCCTTTTAGAAAGCATAAATGTTCTAAATTTATTGGCTAATAATTAATTATTGCAGGAAAAAACAACGAAAGCTAATCCAGAATGGTAGGAGACTGGTTGCCTATAACTATTAAGCAACAATTTTAGTTAAAGAGAACATTTATTTTTTTTCTGAATCATGAAAAAGACCAATATGATTTGTTTTTTGTGCGATTTTCCTCTATGTGCACAAAAATTTAAATTTTAAAAAATTGAATTTTTGTTTTTCCTTTCACTTAAATCATGAAAAAACAAAAATATCCTAAAATTGGAAATAAATCGCATTTGCATTCGCAAAATTTAAAGTTGTGCAATGAACATCATGGGTCCAATTCCCTTGACGGGATTAACTCTCATTAAAAGTGCAACACTGGTGGTGCTCTAACTATAATTAGATCCCTAATTTACTCACTAGTAAAACAATCCCATTTTTAATGGCATATGGAACCAGCTAAGCCACAAATGGTGAATGCTGCTAGAAAAAAGTGAAAAGAATGAAGAAAATTTACGAATTCATTAAATTAAACACATAGACTAACCTTATCGTTTGGGAAAGCGTCATCAATCCATACATGTATGGTGCAAGCCAGTAACTGAAAATTTTCTATTAGATTGTATTATATTTAATATTATTTTATGCTTATTTATTTCAATATAAAAATACTATTTATAATTATTATAGCCATTACAAATTATTTTATTCGTATTTACTTTTAATAATGAATTTTTTTGAAAAAAATTTGAGATGGTTTCACGAAAGTGATATCGTGTGACACTTTTTTGCTGCCTTTATTTGGTGAACTTCCTATGTAATTTAATATGTTAGATTTTAGATTTTGATATCACCTTTGAAGCAATTTCGAAAATAAACTTTTCGAAGTATTTGTAATTTTTTTAAATAACAAATTGTTTCTTTTAATGAAACTTCATAGTGAAAGAGAAATGGACATTTTGAAGGAATATTTTTGTTAATATTTCTTAATGAATAAAAAATTGAATGGAAATTGCCTATTCCACCAATAACGATGCATTAATTTTAATGCTATTTGTAAAAATTCGTAAAATTCATTTTAAATGATACAACATTAAATAAAAGTTATATATAAATAAAATTTTCTAAAATCACTTTTTAATCTTAGATTTAAATATGGTTTTATATTTGTTTATGTAACAAATATGTTTTATTTTATGTGATTTTAGTTAATTTATAAATATTCTACGAAATCGCGATTTTCATCCCTTAATAAAAATTCATTGCAAAATTCATTGTAAAAAATAAATACGTAATAACTAAGACCATGATCGCAAGGATTATAGATATATGATGAAATTTTGATGAAGCGAAATTTGAGCAGTCTTAGTTTATATATGCAAAAGTATACATATATTTTATTAAAATGTTATTCTTTAGGATTTTTCTTCTAGCATGTGTCGACAACCCCTTTTTGTACGAAACAAGAGGCCATGAACATCCCATGTTATATCTATAAGATTATTATTCATGATTCTGAATTTTTAAGAAATGAAATCCTCTAAAGGAAGCTAAATTTATTGAATTCAGAATTTTTGACAGCTGAATTCTAATTGTCATAAGTTAAACATGACAATAAAAAATAAGAATTTACAAAATTTCTCATCTAAATTTGATGAAAGATAAAGGAGAGATTGAGGAAAGAATTTCATCATAAAAACGTGCAACAAAATTTTAAATTATTTTAAAAAGATTAAGAGAAAAAATGCTAAAAAAAGTGGTTTTTTTTCGAGAAAAGCGACAAAATTTCAACTCGAATAATGGCAACTAGAAATTTTTCCCGTTGACGAAACCTTTATGGAGCCGTTGCAAGATCACCATAAAAATTAAAGTCTGCGTCTACATAGTCCGCGGTTCGTTCAATCTTACTATGTGGTTGCGAGACATGGCCAATAAGAATGGAGGATATTAAGAAGTAATCTGCCTATGACCAAGGTATATTTTACGGTTCGTCGAGTGGATGAAATCTCACATGATCGCATCCATCTTCGTTCAAATGCCACTTACATTAATAGAGCGTCATCACAGAGCGTCGTATTCGTTAGTTATGGCACGTTCTTCGTCGCTCACCACAAAAATTGACACATATTTCGTTACTTGTTAAATCTTCTAATGGGTTACTGCCGACGATGGCATCAGATCGCGTAGCTTGGAAACGTCTTATCGCCAGTGGAACCAGCCCAGCCAATAATGGTGTAATAGTGATGTTAGAAGAAGAAGAATTTTGATTATGCAGTAGAAATAAATATTTTCCAATATTTTCGAATTTTTGTCTCCTTAATATAACATTATTTATTAATATTAATATCACAATATTACTAATTACTAATATCATCCTAAATTGCTTTGCAATTGTTTGAAGTTAATCGACTTTGCATAAATTATTTCCAGTGGCTAAAACTGTGATTAATTAATGAAGGCTTTTAGCATTTTTGGGAAATCTATCTACTGATTCCATAAAATATTCTTTTTTTATAATTTATAATAATTTCGTAAAGATTTGAACCTATATATTTGATTTAAAACATTGTTTAACGGCGGTAAGAACGCACTAACGCTGATTATTAGTTTTATGCCAAACTTATGAAAATTTTCAAAAATTATGGAATTGCTATTTGATTTTATGCCCTCTGGCAAATTTTTTTGATTGGTTGTTATAAAGATATATGAGGAATTGTTACTCGAAAGATTTTCTAAAGCAGATTCGTTTTTTGAAGGTAATCTAGCAAATGCCATATAATACATTGCCGTTTTTTTATAGCGAAAAAATAATATATTTCTTCTCTCTGAAATTACATAGAATCTTTTAAAAATAATATATTTGCTCTCTCTGAACAGAACGCAGTGCTTGAATGATTGCGTTTTTCTGCCAACGAATTCATTCAGCTAACAGATAAATTGAACATTTGTTTATTCGTTTAAACAATTTCTTTCTGACTAAAGCATGAATAGTGCAGGGAAAGTGCGACTGAAATTATTAAATGTAGAGCGGTGCATTGGAAGCTCTTATCGTGAGCAAACGCTTTTAAATTTCAAATTCTTCTTCGATTAGACTATCATTAGCTCAGCTGATTCGATGAACCAATCAGGATTTGATTGATTTAACTTTTACAATTCAAATTTCAGACCTGAGATCTTAAATAATTAATGATCATTATCCTATTGTAATAATCATACTTCCTAACCTTAGACGGTATCGCAGAAAAGAATATCCGATGATAAGGAATTTAGATATTGTTAGCCATCTTCAACAGCCGAGTTGATGTTCCGCAGATCGCTTCACGCATCCGATAGGAATAAACTACCATTAAAATCTGGGTGTTTGGGTGGTATATTTTTATGGCTAAAACACTCCATGGCGAAATTTCTCATCCTATCCAACTTATATTTGGAATAGCCTGACTAGAATTAGTGAGTGCTAACCAATTTCTTGCATCTTTCTTTTTATGTGATTTAATAGCGTCAGAATTTGCGAAAACATTACAAAACTAACGTTTACATATATTTATTAGATTCAGCTCGATTGATAATAGCTTAAAAAAACCAAAAATTGAAGCCCACTCATCGTCACTTTTATTGAACCAGGCAATGATAGTATTGAGTATAAAGTCAAATGTTTCACATCAGTAATAATAATAAATATAACTGAACTAATTAAACTCTTTCTTACGATAATTTATAAATTGAAGGCACGTTTCTATGGAAAGAGAATGGATAAAGGGTGAAATGATAAATATTGATTCAATTCCCTTTTCAGTTTTTTTCTCAAGCAAGGTGGCAAAAATGGCAAAAAAATGATAGATTTTTAATAAAACAAAATTATCATAGATTTCAATAAAATTAAAAAACTTTATTTTTTAAGGCTTTAAAATTTCAAATATATTTTAAATGTTTTCAGCCAAAATGATGTAATTTTTATATACTTTTATGATAATCAATTGTTAATCGAAATTGGCTATTAGATAAAACCCAAAGGATATGAAAATCGCTGAAGCACAAGGTACCATGCTTTAAAGATAAAAGTAAGACAAAAAGATGAAACCAATCTTACTCAACAATCGACATTCTGAAGATCAAATATTAATTCTAATTTAATTCTAAGATCAAATGCATCTTCAATTATCAGACCGTAAGCACTGAAGTTAATGAAAGAAATGTGAACTTAGATCCAAAATAATTTATAAAATGAATTCAAATAACTTTCTTCGAATCTTATCAGCTTTCATTTTCTTTCAGTTCATTTTCTTTAGATGACGATAATGCGAATTAAAAATCATGTGATGATATATCCCTTTAAGGTCAATTCCCATTTCTCTAAAATCTCTTTAGAAAGGTGTCAAGAAGCTTTATAATAAGCACAAATTAAACAAATTTATATGACCTTTCTGCTATAAAGAATAATGAATGTTTAAAAAGTTTCCGCGCTCTTTATAAATAATTTTTCAAATAAAGAAGAGCAATTTTTAAATATTAATGGAGATTCTTTCTGGACCATTGAAAGTAAATTTGCAGATAATACTGCAACATAATGTTAATGTGACCACCTCTGAAATCGTTATTGCAAGCATGTTTAATCAATATTTTGCTGGCGTATTTGTTGATAATAATACTTATAGTATAATCGGAGTTGTTGCAGCGTACTTCTCTCTGTGAGGTTGAAATAATGTTATTAGATAAATAAATAATAATAATTATTTATTATTTATGATGCCTTAAATAGATTCAGTAGATTGTGTTTTGTTCGCAAATATTAAAGTTTGGTTGCCGCTAAAACTTATTATCTTCAATAAGAACTTGAAAGAACCTGGGAAGCAGATGAAAAGAACTTTATGATGATTTAATAGAAATGTAAGGACTCCTAAATTATGAATGGTTGAATGCTGTAAAATTTATAATTATACCTGAACTTGTAATATTAAATTTAATTATATAATTCGCATATTTAATTATAATAAAAAATATGGAGCTTTTAT